AAGAGTACCTGCTAAATGAGACCCTAGTAAATAGACTCCAATACATATCATAGTCAGAACGATGGATACCACAGATAGAGACGCAATACTGTAAGCAGCAAGGTCAAAAAAGGAAATCACATACAAAGGAGCACCCCTTAGATTTACAGCAGACCTATCAGAGGAAACCCTCCAAGCCCAAAGACAGTGATGGGATATAGTGAAAAAACTCAATGAAATAAATGCCTCACCAAGAATGCTTTATCCACATAAACTCTCATTCGAACTCAGCACTATTTCATGGATTAAAAAACAGCTAAGGAACTTCATAGACTCAAAACCAAACTTAAAAGGACTAGAGGGGCTACTGTAAGACAAGAAAAAACCCTACAAACACAACAAACCCCTACAGAAAGATGGCACAAAACCCCAGACAATAATTTCCCTCAATGTCAATGGTCTAAATGCACCAATAAAGAGACAGAGTGGCAAAATGGATTCGGAAACTGAACCCAACATTCTGCTGCCTATCAGAAACACATCTGAGACTCAGCAGTGAAGAAACCTGGCCGGCGAGCAACACAATACCCGGAGAATTCTCCGGGCCCCATACGAAGCCAATATCGCTGGGAGGTCCTACATGGGGAAGGTGCAGTCTCCCTGGCTTCTCCAGATTGAATCCTGGTGACCATGAGCTTCTACAAGCATGGCTTTGGTATGTGGGCACCAGGACTATTCTTCCAAACTGCCTGGGGGCACTGGACCAGGCAGTTCCATCCTTGCTCCCAGTCAACCCCCGATCCTAGACACCACGCCCTCAACCCGTCCCTGGTGCCACCTTGCCACACTTAGCAGTGAAGAAACCTGGCCAACGGGTACCACAACACCAGGAGAAATCTCTAGGCCCCATACTGAGCCCATATCAACGGGAGGTCCCAGATGGGGCAGGTGCAGTCTCCCTACCTTCTCCAGAAGGAATCTCAGTGACCATGAGCTTCTACAAGTATGGCTTCAGTATGTGGGCACCAGAACTGTTCTTCTGAACTGCGCAGCTGCATTCCTGATATGCAAGTGAGCAATGGAAAGCAAATGATCTAGCATCTGTCCCTGGAAGGCAGGCTTGATGCTACGTAGGGGGAAAATTTGAGCAAAAAATAATGCCCAACAGAAATTCATCTGGACTGTGCATTAAACTACAGTGCCGTGCCACCGCAGAAGGGGAAAGGTGTTTGTCCCACTGCCTTTTACCCCTGGTGGCAGCAGTATGGTGGCCACTGTCTTTCAGAGCCTAATGGACAGCCAGGTATGAGACAGCAGTGACGAGGCTCTTGGGGCCTCATGGGAGGGGGGTGGAACTGGCCCTACTCCCTGCCCTGATGAGGCCCTGAGTTGCCTCCCACAAACGCCTCCTCTGGCTCCTGAATGGCCATGATCCCAGAGGCACACAAACCAATCTCAGAACCCAGCAGCTTTTGGTAGTAATATCTCTAGATTTATTACTAAAATATCAGAAATCCACAATTGCGTGGCCATGGTCATGTGCTCTTCGTAATAAGCAACAGAATACAAATTATCTAGTGATGTCTTTTTGGCAGGTCTGATTGTTGGGGAAAATTCCAAATAATAATGGTGGATCTTTTGTCGTAATATTGAATGTGATCAACATAGAGAGTAAAGTGATGGGGCTGGAGAGATAGCACAGTGGGTAGGGCGTTTGCCTTGCATGCAGCGAACCTCGATTCCCAGCATCCCATATGGTCCCCTGAGCACCATCAGGAGTAACTCCTGAGTGCAGAGCCAGGAGTAACCCCTGTGCATCGCCAGGTGTGACCCAAAAAGAAAAAAAAAGAGAGAGAGTAAAGTGAAAATCTGCCACACAGACAGGGGAGGGGTCGGAGGGGAGTATACTGAGGTTCTTGGTGGTGGAAAATGTGGACTGCTGAAGGGTTGGGTGTTTGATCATTGTATGACCGACCAAGACTTAAACTGGAAAGCTTTGTGGCTGTTCTCATGGTGATTCAATAAATAAAAAATTAAAAAAAAAAAAAGAAGAAACACATCTGAACAGCAAAGCAAACACAGACTCAAAGTCAAAGGATGGAAAACAATCCTGCAAGCAAAAAACTCCCTCAGAAAAGCTGGGGTGGCCATACTAGTATCCGACTATATAGATTTCAGGTTAAATTTGTTTAATTCTCTTCATTCTACTAAATGTTACATTTGTAGGATTTACCTATTTCTACATAAACTCTAAAATGTCTTAGCAAAGAATTAACATCCATAATAGTCTTTAAATTTATTTGTCTCTGAAAATTTTAGTTTTTGAATAAAAACTTGATATACAAAAAAAAAATTGTCACTAAATGTGGCAACTAAATTGGCAACTGAAGCTGGTTCCTTGGAAGCTGGAGGGACTTTGAGTCCCTGTTTAATACACCTGCTTTTGGTGCTTCCTGGAAGGGTGGGTCAGGTGGGTGATGAGGAAGTGGTTAGATCCTAGCTATAGAATCTAGGGCTCAATCTTCATAATAAATGGAAACTCACAGGAGGTGGTTAAGAGTGGAAGTCTCCTACCCTGAGACCTTAGGCTAATGGCAGGGGAGAATCTTAAGTAAGGAGGGAGCAGGAAGGGAGCAGAGGGAAAAAGATTTTGCCTACTACAGTCTCAACCCCTTCATAGCATAAAAGGATGGTAGCACTGTTGCACTGTCCTCCCGTTGTTCATCGATTTGCTTGAGCGGTCACCAGTAATGTCTCCATTGTGAAACTTCTTGGGAGCTTGCCAGGCTCTGCAGTGCAGGTAGGATACTCTCCGTAGCTTGCCGGAGTCTGGGTTCTCAGAGAGGGACAGAGGAATCAAACCCAGGTCGGCCGCGTGCAAGGCAAATACCTTACCCTTCCAGCCATAGGAGAGCGTATTTGTATTTGTGAACTAAGAGAAGTTATGAAGGTGTTAAGCAGGAATGAATCAGCATTTTTTATAAGTTCTTCAGATAATTTCAAAGTTTAGCAAAGGTTCAGAAGTAACAAGTGTGGTTTCCTGTTCATTGCTCCTTATACATTCTATGTGTATACATATATATATATATATATATTTAGATCTTCTACTATCCAGTCTTCATGATAATGGGGCCTCTCTTTATTAATGGAGAACACACAGCCTATATGGACAGTTAAAATCTGTATTTGTGGGGGCCAGAGCAGCAGGTAGGGCACTTGCCCTGCGTGCAGCAGACCCAGGTTTGATCCTGGGCACCCCATACAACACCGCTAGGAATAATTCATGAATAGTGTCAGGAGTAACTCCTGAGCATTGATGGGTATGGCCCCAAAACAAAACAAAAAAATATCTGAATTTGAATCCCTGTTCTGCCCCTCACTGTTACGGTCATGAGTAAGTTATAATCTGAGGGGCCAGAGTGAGTGAGGGGCCTACAGTGGGTCTGTTGTTGGAGAATCAGGTCTTGCTTTCAGTATCCACAAGGCGGGTTAGATTTAGGAGTGGTGGCTTTATTCTAAATATTTCATTGTCATCGTGTGTGTGTAGGTGTAGGTGTGTGTGTGTGTGTGTGTGTGTGTGTGTTGTGGGGGGGGGGGCTTCCCTAATTTACCTGCCTGCATCAGTTAGACTCTGATTTTCTTTGAAAGCTTTTTTTTTTCCTCTTTGGGTCACACCCGGCGATGCACAGGGGTTACTCCTGGTTCTGCACTCAAGAATTACTCCTGGTAGTGCTCAGTGGACCATATGGGATGCTGGGAACCGAACCTAGGTTGGCTGCATGCAAGGCAAATGCCCTACCCACTGTGCTATCGCTCCAGCCCCACTTTGAAGTCTTTTTTATCTCTGCCCACTATGCTCAGGATGACACTACTGGAAGTTTTGCAGATTTAGTAATCAGGGAATGCATTGGATGTTGTGGATGGGAAACCTCGCTTTGCTTTCCTGCCACAAGCTCAAAAAACACAAAACAGCCAAATCAGATGCTGTTGACATCAGGGAAGCCTTGCTGGAAATTAAAATTCCTCTAATGTAGATGGGAAATTAATCAGGGCAGAGAGTTGTAGGCAGGGCCAAAGGCTAAATTCTTCTTCCATAGATTCCTGATGAGTGTTTTTATTATGTAAATGGGATGGAAGGCACTGTAACTGGAGTAACTGATTGGAGAGTTGAGACCTTAACAGATGCTAAAGAAGTGCATAGGCTCCTTAGGTTTTAGGGAGTTACTAGTTCTTTCCGAATTCAGCTCTGGCTATAGAGCTTGTGTCCACTGGCTCTCAGGTCCTTCAGATGGTGAGGAAAGGAGCCCTGCAGCTTGTCTGTCATTTTTCTGCAGAATAGATTTCATGATGGCATGCTCCACTGTGCGTTACTCGGATCCCAACACTTGCACATTATGAACAATAAACCATCCAGGTGCCAGGTGCCAGGGCTGAGTTGACTGTACTTGGTTCTTGCATTCCAGAAGTTGGTAGTTGGAAAGGCGAGTGGGAAGCAGAGAGTTTGCAGGTGAAAGTGCTGTCATGTCACATAGAATTATTTGGTTGAAAATGAGCTGAAACACATCCAAGAAAGCTTCAGCAGGAAAGGATTAAGTTAATAGAAAGCAAAAAGAACTTAGGAAGGAATCTTGGGGAATATTAGGTGGCAGGAAATAGGTACATGCTGGAGTTACTCTCAATGTAGTAAAGTGACTTTGGGTCCATTAATTCAGAATTTAAATCCCCAAGATTAGATACCCACTAAATCCAGTTTGAGCATTCCCCAGGGAGAAAAGATTTTTGAGTGGTGCTGTGATTCTGTATGGTAGGGGACTTCCCAGAGAAGATGAACCCTCAAAAGGCAGACTCTGATGTCCCAGCTGCCGCATTGTCTCCTGGGACGGCAGCAAGTGTGCAGGTATGTGGGTTTGGGTAATATACTCCAATGTTAAAGTCATGATGGTTAAAGACCATCAGGCATAGACTCACTTGTCTGTAAGAATATCAACTCATTGGCACATGATTCTGTTCCCTTGGCCCAGTGCGAGCAGTCCCACCTCCTGAGAGAGCATGAGGATGTCCAGGAGCGAACCACGCTGCGGTATGAAGAGCGCATCACAGAGCTGCACAGCATCATCGCTGAGCTCAACAAGAAGATAGACCGCCTGCAGGGCACCCCCAGGTAGTGACTGCGACCCACCATCCCCTTTCCCTTGGTGTGAGAGCTTAGGTCTTGGGGGAAATTCGTCTCTATGAATCATACCAGTGTTTTATTTGTAACTTAAGCTTTTGTTCACCGTTGATAAAATGTTTTCTCTTCGCTTATTGACCAGTTTCCTTTTGTTTGTTTGTTTGTTGGGTCACACCCAACAGTGCTCAGGTGTTACTTCCGGATCTGTAATTCAAGGACCACTCCTGGTGAGCTTGGAGGGGGGCACTGTATATGGTGCTGGAGATTGTACCAAGGTTGGCTGCTTGCAAGGGAAGCACTCAACTTCTATTCTGTCCCTCCTGCGCCTTGACCAATGTCCTTTCTACTCACTAGTTTATCCTGAATTTGATCCTCAGAATAACCCAGAAAGATAGACTGGATAGGATTCATGCAAGTTCTAAAGAGAACCTGTCTCTTTCCACAACCAGCAGCCCTGTCACTATTTAACTCACCATCTTTGCACTGATATATGGACTATGCACCTCCCTTGATGCTTTTGGGACAAATGTGGCTTTTTACTAAACATCATATATATGTCCATGTAAGTTGATAATACACTGAGCTTTCCTCAAGTGGATCAGCCAACATTGCCTCAGCCCCTACAAACACTTGGAACAAGCTTCAAGTTGACAGACCTACTAAGAATTTTCACTTAGAGGAAAGAAGCAGAGTCAGAATCCACGTTGTCTCTGTCTTTACTTAATTTTATTTCCATAGAAATTACTCATAGAAATCCTGCTGTCACTGGGCCCCTGTGTCTCCTGTGAACTGACTGGCTCACAGAGAAAGGGCTTCATGGAAAAAGAGCGTTTTGTTTGTTAAATGCTTTATAGGTCACGGTTAAAACACTGCTAGATGCCACTACAGTAAACTTTCCCTCTGGGTGTCAGTGGTTGAAAAAACTTTGGATGCCCTTTGTTCTGGGAATCACTCATGGGGCTAGTTGCAGAAGGTAACAATAAGATTCTGTTTTGAGGGGAGGGGGGATCATTTAAAAATTGCACTGAGCTAAAGCCACACAATAAATTTCATTTCAACTTAGAACTTCAAAGTTTTATATTTATTTCTGGGTCTGTAGAATGATTGTAGATTAGTAATTCATGAACAGAAGTATTCTGCCCAAATAAATGATTATAGCAGTTTAAACAATGCTGACAGAATATATTGGCTAATTTGTAGGTTCTATTAAAGCATGTTGCGCTTTTAGTTTGGGGGCCAGGACTTCCTCCTGGCTTGGTGCTCTGAGATTACTCTTGTCAGGACTCAGGTACCATATGGGATGCCTAGGATCAAACCTGGGTGAGACACATGCAAGGCAATCAATCAATTACATTACCCACAATATTATCTCTCCAGCCCTGTAAAGCATGTTGTATTTTTAAATACTTGAGAACATAAAAGCAAGTGAGTTGTTGTTTTTTTAATTGACTCACCATTAGCTATGTTACAAAACTTTTATTTATGAGTTTCAGTCATACAATGACCAAATACCCATTCCTCCACCAGTGTACATTTTCTGCCACCAATGTCCCCAGTATCCTTCCCACCCCTCCCATTGCCTGTATAGCAGACAATTTTCCTCTTACTCTCTGTCTACTTGTGGGTATTATGGTTTGCAATATAGATACTGAGGGGCCATCATGTTTGGCCCTTTATCTACTTTTAGCATACATCTCCTATCCCGAACGATCCCTCCAACCATCATTAACTTAGCGATCCCTTCTCTAAGCCTTCTTCTCAGGCTCATAAGGCAGGCTTCCACTGTGGAGCAATCTTCCTGCTCCTTGTCTCTACCACCCTTGGTGTTATCTCATATTATGATATTTTATATTCCACAAATGAGTGCAGTCATTCTATGTCTGTCCCTCTCTGACACTTGGCACGATACTCACCATGACCATCCACTTATAAGAAAATTTCATGACTTCAACTTTCCTAACAGCTGCATAATATTCCATTGTATAGATATACTAATGTTTCTTTAACCAGTCGTCTGTTCTTGGGTACTCAGTTTGTTGTGTGAGTATTCTTTCGGTCGGGAGCACTGAGATAAGAGATGTGAGAGAAATGAGATTTGCTGGAGAGGCTCCTTGGTTGCTCTGGCAGAGAAGCATGGAGAAGCATCCCACAGCCTCTTTTATTTACTATCTTATGTACGCACTTCTAATGCACTCAGTACAAAGAAATCATTAATGGGGAAAAGGGTTACAAGAGGGACATCAAGACATCAAGGGTACATTGTTCCGTCATGTCTGCAAACCCAGTGGTGGCAGCCTCCAGAGCGGAATGCAAGGCCAAGCAGTCTGGTACCATGAGCTACAGCCCCTTGCATCTGGAGTGATGAGGATGTGAGAGAATGTCTGTATTCCAAAGCTGAGGGGGGGTGCGGGGCGGGGGGGATCTGTGAGAGAGGGAAGATTGCTCTATATAACACTAAAAGCTAAAAGGCAACCAAAGGAAGAGATGTTAACCCTTTCCAAACCAGTCCGAACACACGAGTCATGGCTTGCCCATTTTCACGGGACCCGTGCTCCTGCCCCCTTGCAGGTCAGTCTCCACAGGCTCATCCTAACAGTTATGGTTGGGCACCAACACAGGATGTTTCCAGATTCTGCCTATTGTGAACAGTACTGCAATGAACATACAAATGCTGATGTTATTTCTACTGTGCTATTTTGTGCCCTCGGGATATATTCCCAGAAGTGGTATTGCTGGTTCAAATGGGAGCTCAATTTCTAGTTTCTTGAGAAATGTCCATATTGTTTTCCAGAAACACTGGACCAGTTGGCATTCCCACCAACAATGTAGGAGAGTCCCCTTCTCCCCAAATTCATGCCAACACCTTTTCTTTTGGATGTGTGCTAGTCTCTGTGGTGTGAGATTGTATCTCGTTGCTTTGATCTGCATCTACCTGATGATTAGTGATGAAGAACATTTTTTCAACTGTCTTTTGGCCATTTGAATTCCTTTGCAAAAGTTTCTGTTCATTTCATTGCCCTATGTTCAGGGATCGAATGTTTTCTTCTTGTAGAGTTCAGCCAGTGCCTTGTATATCCTTGATATTAAACCCTTATCAGAATGGTTTTGGGTGACTATCCTTTTCCATTTCGTTGACTCTCTTTGTATTCTGGTCACTGTTATTTTGAGGTGCAGAAGCTTCTTAGTTTAAGATAGTTCCATTTGCTTATCTCTGCTTCCACTTGCTCAATAGTGGTGTTTCATGTTTGAAGATACCTTTGGCTTCAGTGTCATGAAGGGTTTTGCTGACCCTTTCTTCAGTATTCCTGATGGATTCTGGTCTGATGTTGAAGTCTTTAATTCATTTTTATCTGACTTTTGTGCATGGTGTTACGTAGAGGTCTGAGCCTCCCCCCCTCCCTCCCCCCCCAGTTTTTGCATGTAACTGTCCAGTTTTGCCAGCACCATTTGTTAAAGATGCCTTCCTAGCTCCACTTATATTTCTTGCTCCCTTATCAAAGATAAGATGATCATATATTTGAGAGTCTATGTAAGGACATTCAACCCTATTCCATTCATCTGCATATCTGTCTTTGTGCCAATACCATATTGTTTTAATTATTACCACTTTGTAGTACAGTTTGAGGTTGGGGAAGGTGATGCCTCCTATCTTTTTTCCCCCCAAGATTGCTTCAGCTATTTATGGTGGCTTGTTCAATATGAATTTCAGGAGCATTTAATAAATTTCTTTGAAGAATGTCAAGGGTATTCTTATTATTCTTTTAAGGATTGCAATGAATCTTGGCAATGCTTTGAGGAGATTGCCTTTTTGACAATGTTAATTCTTCCAGTCCATGAGCTGGAGATGTATTTCCGTTTCCTTGTGTCCTCTTTTATTTCTTGAAGTAGTGTTTTGTAGTCTTCTTTGTATAGGTCCTTTACCTCCTTAGTTAAGCTGATTCTGAGGTACTTGATTTTCTGAGGCATGGTTGTGAATGGGATAGTGTTTTTCATATTGCTTTCTTCTCTCTCATTATTTGAATATAGGAAATCCATGGACTTTTGGGTATTGATTTTATAGCCTGTGACTTTACTATCCAAGTCTAATGTTTCTAGGAGCTTCTTGGTAGAGGCTTTAGGGTTCTTTAAGTATAGTATCATGTCATCTGCAAATAATGAGAGCTTGATTTCTTCCTTTCCAATCTGAAGGCCCTTAATTCCTTTTCTTGCCTAACCGCTATTGCAAGTACTTCCAGTACTATATTGAACAGCATTGGAGAGAGGGGGCATCCTTGCCTTGTCCCTGATCTTAGAGGGAAGGCTTTTAGTTTTTCTTTATTGAGGATAATGCTTGCCAAGGGCTTGTGGTAGATGGCTTTGACTATATTGAGGAAAGTTCCTTCAATTACCATTTTGGTGAGGGTTTTCATCATAAACAGGTGCTGAATTTTGTCAAATGCTTTTTTCTGCATCTATTAATATGATCATATGTTTTTTATCTTTTTTATTGATATGATGGATTAGGTTGATTGACTTACAAATGTTAAATGACCTTGCATCCTGGGATGAATTCCTTGTGGTCGGGTGTATGATCTTTTTTGATGAATTGTTGGATTATATTTGTGAATATTTTTTTGAGGATCTTCGCATCCATTTTCATCAGAGATACTGGCCTGTAATTTTTGGTTTTTTGTCCTATCTCAGTTTTCTTTTGGTATTAGGGTGATCTGTGCCTCATAGAAACTGTTTTGGAGAATTTCTGTTTCTTAAGTTTCCTGGAAAAGCTTGAAAATAGGTCCTCTTTAAATGGGTCTCCTTTAGCTACTACCCTTCGGACTCCTTGGATCTGGAAACCTGCATTATCCAGCTCTGGGAACTTCTCAGCAATGATATCTTTAACTGTTGCTACTTCTTTGGGATTGTCTCCCTGTCCTTCAGGTACTCCGATGATTCTTACGTTGTTCCTCTTGAATTCATCCCCTAGGTCTCTGATTCACCCTAGAGCTATTTTG